ACCATTCTCCATTTACCGTTCACCATTTACCATTCACCATTTACCATTCACCATTTACCGTTCACCATTTACCATTCACCATTTACCGTTCACCATTTACCATTTACCATTCACCATTTATCATTCACCATTTACCATTCACCATTTACCAATCTCCATTTACCATTCACCATTTACCATTCATCATTTACCATTCACCATTTACCATTCACCATTCACCATTTACCATTCACCATTTATCATTCACCATTTATCATTCACCAGTTACCATTCACCATTTACCGTTCACCATTCACCATTCACCATTTACATTCACCATTTACTATTTACCATTAACATTTACCATTTGCCATTTACCATTCACCAATCACCATTTACCATTCACCAATCACCATTTACCATTCCCCATTCACCATATACCATTCACCATTAAGCATTCACCATTTGCCATTCATCATTTAACATTTACCATTCACCATTTACCATTCACCATTTGCCATTCACTATTTACTATTCACCATTTTCCATTCACCATTTACATTCCACCATTTGCCATTTACCCTCTACCATTTACTATTCACCGTTTGCCATTTACCGTTTAGAATTTACCTCTAACCATTCACTTTTTACGTTTTACCTTCAACCATTTCCCCTTTACCATTCAAAATTTTTAATTTTTAACTTTTCTTTTTAATTTTTAGTTTTTAATTTTCAATTTTCATATCGCATTTCTCATTTTCATTTTTCATTAGGTGATGACTGTTTCAGGGCAGAAGATAATGGCGCATGCCGGAGTAGCCACCGCAACCCCCGACCTCGGGAAGGAATCTATGATGGGGCTCGTCCAGTGGAGTCCATGTAGGTGCAGGCATCTTTTTGCACTTTTAAGTGTAGCTTCGATTCTCATTTGGCTTGTTTTCCTGGTGCTTAGAGGTGATGATGGACTTTCAAGTAATGCACTGTATCTTCGAGAAGCCCAAACCGAAAATTTGACCAGCGAACAGAACGACCCTTATATCAACTGGATTAACTTGACCCCCGGCTATATCGATCGGCTGTCGGTTCTTGGTCGCCGTATCTTCTTGAACGAAAAAATTGGTTCTGAACAAGATAGACATTTCACGATCCACATCTGGAAGTATGAAGAGTATGGCCAAGACCTCGGAGACCGATTTTTCAAGGTGGGATCTCCTGAAAATTTTGATCCTTTTGAAGACTGTTCTGTCAGCAACTGCAGAATGTCTTTAAAAGATGAAAACGTCATGTTTGCAGACGCCGTTCTCTTCCACCTGCACCACATTGCGGGTCCTCCAGCTGACGTGCCTAGGGCACCTGGGCAGCTCTGGGTGTGGTTCACAGACGAGAGTCCCAACAATGTTCTTGCATTGTCAAGTGACCGCATTTTAAGTCATTTCAATGGGGTTTTTAACTGGTCAATGAACTACAGAATGGATTCGAGTGTACCAGTGCCGTACGGAAGAACTGTTTCAGTACCTGAAAATGAGTGGCTGAATACGACAGAGGATTATTATAAAATGAAACGTAAAAATGTTGCCATAATGGGTTCCAATTGTGGCGACCCAAATAACAGATATAAATATGTTGCTGAGCTGCAGAAATACTTAGCGGTTGACGTGTATGGCGAGTGCGGACCGCTAAAGTGCCCAGGTCATTACTGGACGAACTGCGACAAACTCGACGACTACAAGTTCTACCTGGCGTTCGAGAGCTCAAACTGCGACGAATATCTAACAGAGAAAGTTGGTGGTTTAATTTTTTTGTACTAAGTGGTTGTTTTAGTTATACGATACTTTTTGAACTTGTTGAGTTCAATAAGGTACTGGTGGGTAAGGTGGCCCATTGGTTACAGATCAGAGTATACCAAGACTGATACCGAGAGTTGTGGGTTCGATCCCAGCTACTGCGACAGTTATGGTCAAATCAAATTATGGAAGCCGGGCGGCTACGCATAGCAAAATTAGAGCAGTGAGTTGCGTATTTGGGACCGCAACAAGTAGTGAATATTTTGCGATATTAAGAATCAGCGGCAGGTCTAACGGCCTAATCAACACTGACACCGATAAAATGCCATAATAAGTAGCGCGGTAGCTGACCTGTTCATATCCATAAAAATTATAATTTTAGTGGTTCATAGGATATATGGTGGTTAACTCGGGTAGTAGTAGTCCCTGATATCTGATAAGCCCCGTTCTCCCAAATCCCGTGTCCTTCAATCAGATTTCACTTGAACCAATTCCCCCTGATCCCATTTCGCCGGTTCCCATTTCTCGTGATTTTCAAAAAAGATTTGGAATTCCGAAGATAAATTATATTCTTCGTAAATAAGATTTGCACTTACCGAAAAAAAATCTTGATTAGAATTCTGTAGTCCATTTGTCCCCACCTCAACCTTTTTTAATCTGAAACAAAAAGTGAACAATTTTAATTAAATCTAAATTTATCGACTCATAACCGATGGAAGTAGGTGTGAATTGCGAACTTTTACTTTACTCAACTTACTTTGAATTTTGAAAATTGTTAACGGAATTCTGGATGAACGAATTTTCAAATCGAAGAGAATATCTACTCCGAGCAACGCCTTTCTAAAATTCTACTGTGATATTATATCATAAATTAACGTGTAAAGCTTGTTCCTAACATTATCTTATCTTTCAGGTACACCATACTTCATCATACTTCATAATCCTATTCTCTCCTGATTCATTCCACCGTTATGATCTGCGTTCGAACCGAGTCCATTTACTTGATTCATGAACTAATTCATGCCTTCATTAATGCATATTCATTCATTCTTAATTCGTTCGTGCATTCTAACGGTATTCTGATCATCATAAACTGTATACTGAATATCATAAACTATATCCTGACTATCATAAATTATGTACGTCTTATCATAAATTATATCCTGAAAATCATAAATTTTGTCCTAATATCATAAACTGTATACTGAGTAGTATAAATATAAATATATATAAATATACCGTATTTCATCAACTGTATACAGAATATAATAAATAGTAAACTAAACATACGGAATTCTCACCCACTTCTCTGAAATGCAGGTGTGGTGGAACGCTCTGCACAAGTCAGCCGTGCCTGTGGTCATGGGACCGCCGAGGTGGAACTACGAGATGCTGCTGCCTCCGAATTCTTTCATCCACGTGGAGGACTTCAGAAGCCCTGCGGATCTGGCGCGATACCTGAAGTATATACATTTTTGTTTGGCAGTGTTCACTCAGAGAAATTAGTGGGTCGTTCTCCAAAAATATGATGAACTTTTTACCCCATGTGTGGGTCATCCTAACCCAGTTTGGCCCGGCAAATGGCGTATCAGTGCTACGTCCACTCAAAGCTTGCTTTGCGAGTAAAAAAAATTGATCAATATTTGGACACTTTGACCGGTTCATTTGTTCCATGAGTAGGATTTATTTCTGATTTTTTTATATTTCGCAACGAAATATTGACATTTCTTTTGCGTTTAAGGTCAAAATATTCTAATCAAGTTCATATATGTATATTTTTTCAGTCGCTGGTCAGGATCGGCCTCAATCAAAGTTTATCTTGATAACCTTAATCATATTGACATTTATTGTACTTATAACAACACTTGCACGAGAAATCCAATCTGTCATTATTAGATATTTCACCGTTCCTCATGATAGTTTCAAGCCAAAAGCTGGTGAAAAAGACTAGGTTTCCAAGCGCCTAGTCGCTCTAAGCCCCAACAAGTCATGTGGAGCAGACGGCTTCCACTCCAGATTACTCTAAGAGTTAGCAACCGTCCTGTCCGGCTTTTTGACGGCATTTCAAAAAACCATGAACGAAGGCATCGTGCCGGCCGACTGGAAAGAAGCTCAAGTTACACCATTGTTAAAAAAAGAGAAAAAATTAGGGGTTACTTTTTTCATTTTTCTGAAATGGTGAAACTTCAGCTTCTATCACCGTCAGTCTGACAAGTGTTGTTTGTAAAGTAATTGAATCTGTTGTGAGGGATCGAGTGCCCGATCTTTTGACTGTTAATAATCTCCTATCAGACTGTCAACATGGCTTTATTGTCAGTAGATCCTGCAAAACTGACCTCTTGTCTACTTTGAATATTTGGACCCGCCTGCTGGACGAAAGGGAGCCAGTAGATGCAGTGTACCTCAATTTTGCCAAAGCATTTGACAGTGTCGAACATAAGCGGTTGTTGTGTAAATTAAGATCTTTGCGAATTGAGAGTAATGTACTCCAATGGATCAGAGTTTTTCTAGTAGGGAGACGACAACGTGTCAGTATAAATGGGACTGGATCAGACTTGGCTTCAGTGCGCAGCGGCGTGGCACAAGGGAGCGTTATCGTGCTCATTTTATTCGTTGCGTTTATAAACAATTTGTCAGAAGCTGTGTCTAGCGCTTGCTCGATGTATGCTGACGACACAAAAGTTTATAATACAGTGAAGGATACGTCGCAAAAAGTACTGTTGCAATGTGATTTCGGCAGGTTAGTTGACTGGGCTGATCCGTAGCAGCTGCGCTTTAATGCTAAGTTTAAAGTAATTTACCTTGCGAAGAACAATGAACAGCAAGATTACAGTATAAGAAGACATGGTTGCAACGAGAGAGTGATGATGTTGAAGTCGACGAAGGAAAAAGATTTAAGAGTGTGTCGACAATGAGTTGAAATTTTCTAAGCATATTGAAGCCCAAGTTAATAAAGCCAATAAACGGCTTGGACTGATCAGACGCTCATGCGAGTACATATATATATAGATGCAGAAGTGATGAAGCTGTTGTTTGTCGCTGTCGTGCGTCTGAACCTAGAGTTTTGAAACGCCGTGTGGTCACCAAAGCAAAAAAAGGACAAAAATTTAGTCGAGAATGTTCAAAGACGTGCAATAAGGATAATTCCGGGATTAAAAGGCAGGCCTTATGAAGAAATATTAAAGATTATGGAGCTTCCCAGTCCATGCCATCGACGTCTGCGTGGTGACCTCATTTAAGTATACACGAATACCCACGGTTTATAAAGGTCCCAGAAGGAGTCCTTGAATTTGGAATTAGAACCAACACCAAAGGCCACAAATATAAACTAAAAAATTGCTTTCTAACACATCCATGCGACGCATTTCTTCTCGCTTCGAGTCACCGACATGTGGAACAGCCTCCTTGATATCATATTTGACGCTCCGAGTATGAACGAGTTCAAGAACAGACTACAGAAGGCCATGCAGGAGCATCTGTTTAGTCATGGAATGCCTCTCACCTTAAGGGCCTGGTAATAAGTCATGCAGCTGTCTCAAACGATCGTCAGTTATGAAAAGATCTGATTAAAATGGTCGTATCTCCTGCGAATCAGGTCACGAGAAGCACAGGAATCGGCAACAGGCCTTGGGCCTATTTCTTCAGTGCCGAGACTTCTATTCTATTAATACGGGGCTAATAGAGGCGGCCACTGCATCATTAACATGGGGCCAATATTGGCGGCCACTGCAAATACTAAATACTAATACTTATTATCTCTTCAGATCCTTGCCTAACTAGTAAACAAGGTCAATAGTCTGATTGATAATGACGGTCAATACTTGTAAGTTGCAGTGACCGCCACCAGTGGCCTGGTGAAGATTAGCCTATCTAATTTTATTAATCTGTAATAAATATTGAAACATTTTACTATTATTAACTGTCCGCTAATCCTCCATTCAATAATCGCTACATGTTTCATGGTAATTTCAGGTACCTCTTGAACCACCCTGCCGAGTACCAAAAGTACCACGACTGGAGGAGACGATACCGAGTACTCAACGAGCACGGGTACTCGGCAGCCCCAGTGTGCCATTTGTGCAGACTTTGCGAGGCACTGAACTACAACAACAAAATGGACCAACAAGCCGACCTGGAGCCTTTCTACGACCGAGATCAGCAGTGCTACCCTCCACAATGGGTTGATTAGCATCATTTCTACAACAGAGATCAGCAGTGCTACCCTCCACAATGGGTTGATTAGCATCATTTCTACAACAGAGATCAGCAGTGCTACCCTCCACAATGGGTTGATTAGCGTCATTTCTACGACAGAGATCAGCAGTGCTACCCTCCACAATGGGTTGATTAGCATCATTTCTACAACAGAGATCAGCAGTGCTACCCTCCACANCTGAGGGCTGACTGGTCAGCAGCTGAGGGCTGACTGGTCAGCAGCTGAGGGCTGACTGGTGAGCAGCTGAGGGCTGACTGGTCAGCAGCTGAGGGCTGACTGGTCAGCAGCTAAGAAACTATGCCATTTTTGCGCTTGATTTTTTCAATTACATAAGTATTATATATATATATTCATATAGATAGGCTTCCGAAAGAAAACCTAGAATGAATTATTCATCTCTTGGAGCAAAAAATATTTCGATTTATGTAACGTTTTCTTGTTTTCTCCTATTTTTTTGTTTTAACTCATCATATGAGGTAAAATATATTGCATATGAAAATGCATTGTAAATTTGATCACACTTGAAAAACCCGTTAGCATGAATGGCTATCATCTTTGTTACAGAGATACAAAAATATAAACTGCATAGACCGATATCAACGGAAGCAGAACATGAAGCATTTTACATTGAAATTCTAAGTTGTTTTTAGTTTTTTATGATTGTTGTTAAATTGTTGGCCAATATGATGAATGGTTTAAATTAAAGGACATTTGTTCCGTATAAAATTGCAGATCAAAAAGTGAGCACCGTTACCTGCGACCCACTTAGGCACAGCTCAAATGCGTATCCGTGCTACGTACAGAAAGTATGCCACTATTTGGAAAAAATGAGCCAATTATTTTTCTAAATGCTGACATGAACCTTCGACGAATGCCTCACTCTCAAACTTTAAATAATTCGCATTGTTTCCTTTAGCAAATTAAGCTTATTTATTTTAATATTTTTTTTAAATATGGCACTCGTAAGCTCCTTTGCAATTAATTAGAGAATATACGTAATGTGAGGAAGTGATTTAAATCATGAACTGAGCTAGGAGAAATTTATTAAATTAGGTTTTTTCTAGGATTTTTTATTTGAATGAGTGGTTCTCAACTTTTTCTAATTTCATTTTACAAAGAATGAAAAGTGTGTGTTATGTTTAAACTTTGTGTGATGGGGAAATAGAAGTTTTAAAATTATTTAGGTTTACTTCTATCCACAACATATTGAAACTAAAATTCTAAAGGCCAACGTTGTGATGGCCCGAACAAACATGAAAATTGGTTCGAAAAAAAGTTAATAAATTTAAATAACATGAATTGGTGTGTGCTTAATATGCCTATACATGTGTTTCATAGGACCTCACTTTTTTAGGAAAATCCTAGAACTTTGCATACTTTGAGTGCCAAGCAAAGAAACAAAACTCTAAGTGAAAGTGTTCAAGCAGTTGTGATCAAAACTTGAGGGTATAATTTGAATAATTAAAGTGTGCAATAAAATATTCGAGTAAAATAATTTATCAATTGCAACGAATTTAGTATCGAGAACAGTGTAACGAAGGCATGGTAGAGGAAGGAAGCATATTAAAGGAAGATCCGCATATTAAAACATTGAATATATAATTCATAGTGTTTCATATTACCACTCTACCCCAGAATATCAAGATTTTTTTTGTATTCAGAGATAGGTTTTCCAAGTCAGAGATAGATATTTACGAAGTCAGAGATAGATTTTTTCGTGGACGGAGATAAATTTTTCGAAGCCAGAGAAAGATTTTTCGAAGTCAGCGATAGATTTTTCGAAGTCCAAGATAGATTTTTCCGAAGTCAGAGATAAATTTATCTGAAGTCAGCGATAGATTTTTTTAGAAATCGGAGATGGATTTTTCGAACTCATTGATTGATTTTTCCGAAGTCAGAGATAAATTTTTCGAAGTCATAGATAGATTTCTTCGCAGTCAGTGATAGATTTTTCCGATTTCAGAAATAATTTTTTTTTAAGTCGGAGATTGATTTCTTCGAAGTCAGTTATGGATTTTTTCGAAATCAGAGATAGATTTTTCCAAAGTCAAAGATAGATTTTTTCGAAGTCAGTGATAGATTTTTCCGATTTCAGAGCTAAATATTCTCGAAGTCAGAAATTGATTTCTTTCAAGTCAGCGATAGATTTCAAAGTTTGTTGAAACTATCATCGTTTCCGATACGCTAAAATGACATGGATATCATAATAAAATAATACGTTAAACTATAAATATGGAAACTTACATTAAATTTTATGTTTTAAACTTCCAATATCATACGGGGCTGGCATATATCTTCGTAATTCAGTCAGGTAATACTTTACATATTTAGCAGTCGACGAGCAGAATTTAAATGCAGTTTCATGGAGTTTTTAATGCCGTTTCATTATTTTTTCGTGAAGCTTTTATGGCCGTTTCATAAAATTTTTCATGGAGCTTCTATGGCCGTTTCATCAATTTTTCATGGAGCTTCTATGGCCGTTTCATTATTTTTTCATGGATTTTGTATGGCCGTTTCATTATTTTTTCATGTATCTTTAATGGCCGTTTCATAAAATTTTTCATGGAGCTTCTATGGCCGTTTGATTATATTTTTATGAAGCTTTTATGGCCATCTCATTAATTTTTCATGGAGCTTGTATGGCCGTTTCATTATTTTTTCAAGAAGCTTTTATGGCCGTTTCATTATTTTTTCATGAAACTCCTATGGCCGCTTCATTAATTTTTCCCGTTTCGTTCATCTTGTGAATAATTTTCGTATTCTAACATTAAATATCCAGATGTACAATTTAGCTTTGTAAAGTTTATATAACCAGGCTTATCTATTTCATTCTTTTTTAATATAATTATTTATATTCTATAACTATATTGTCATATGTACATTGTGCAATGTAATCTTTTATAAAGAGTAGTGCAATGAAGTCTTTTTTTTATATTATGAAGTTTTTACTGACGATATTATTCATTTCATCAATTTATAGAGCATTTTCAAAATTGTGAACTATATTTCCAGCTATACAATTTTTAGTTTTATAGTTTTATGTAGTTTTGGCGACAAGCTTATTACTTCTCATTAAACTTACAGATTATTTTTCACATGCACGAACTGCGTATCGAGATGATTAATGCAAAATCCTACATGTGGCATTGAACTTCAGTGCCCACGAACGTCATCCATCTCTACACATGCGACGAACCTGCGCCGAGTATCACCGTGCCACAAATCGTGCAATGTAAAGTAATAGAGGTACAGGCCGTTAGAACTGTCGCGGGTTTTTAATATTTCAGAACATTCAAAGCCTGTTGCATTCGCGAGCACGCAACTCACTGCTCCAATTTTGCTGTACTTAACCGTAAGGCCTCCTCATAGATTTTGACCTGAACTGTCGCAGGTTTCATCACACCCGCAGCTCTCTGCTCCAATCCTGGTACTATGAACTGTAGCCACTTGGCCACTCTGTAACCATGCAGCACAATATCTTCCTCTTGACACCACATTGCAAGGTAATTTGTTCTCTACTTTAACTGTTAATATAACAACAATGATTGTGAAAGGTACAAGGGAGAATTCCTTGAGGACCATATTTTTCGTCTGTAATCATCGTCGAGATGCGACCGAAGGACGGCTAAGCGTCCACTCGAGAACGTGGACACTTAATCCTTCAACTCGAAAAGGATTATGACACCCATTCCCGGTATAGCTGCAATATACTGTTGGTGAAAGGCATTTTTCCTGTGGATATTCCGTTGTGACGGATGCAATATGGGCTTCTTGTAAGATCCTATACTCTTCATATCGCTGCCTGTATTTGTTTCGTTTCAGCTTTTCTGCCTACTCATCCCTAGAATGTCATGAAATAGAATTGTTTCTTATACGATTTTCCTTCTCCCGAACAAAGGAACTACAAAAAGCATGGCATTTCCTTATCGGTCAAACAATGGAGGTACGCCCCAGCTCAGCCGATGCAAAATCGATTATGCTGCCGCTATCGGCCAGCGTAATGCTGCAGTGGCCATCACAGGGGTTGCAGTGTCACACTGCAGTGACCAGTTGTGGTGTGTAGGAATATTGCCTTTATTAAGAATTGCAAAGGTTGTGGTGGAATTGTCGCAGGTTATATTGATTACTTAGATGGTTATTGATAATTGCTTATGATGGATATAACCTACTACATAAAGTAATATAATTTTAAAAAGCTTGCTGGCTTTAATTATAGTGAAGGTTTATGTACGATTTATTCGTAAATTATTTTCCTTCTTAACTTTTGTACCACTATTTCAAGAAAAAATAGTAATTTAAGCTACTTGCTACAGGTGGTAATGCTTCAACTATACAAATGTCTTGTATGTCTTGAATGTCTCTATACAAGTAAAACTCGATGTCAATAATGTACTAGGGGCGTTTCAAAAAATAACTGAAGTTTAATGTGAAATCTTGTTATGAAAAGAAATTTGATCTATAATATAACCATATTTAATATGTAGATCCCAGAACAAGCAGTTCTAGGGTCTACATATTAACACTGTGAGCAGATGGATTCATTTCGAAATCCCTGCCCGCAAGTGGATAACAAAATAATGAACATTTGGGGAGGCAATGCACTCAGATAATAAAATAATTAACACTTGAAAAGGTAATGCCCTCAAATAACAATCTAATGAATACTTGGAGAGGTAATGCGCACAGATAACAAGTTATGCAGATATCAAAGTAATCAATATTCGGAGAGGTAATGCACTCAAATAAGAAACGTGCGGATCTCTGTCGCGGTAATGCTCGCAGATAAAATGCTTTGGAATCTTTAAAGCCAACTCAACGTGGCAAAAATGACGTCGCTTCAATTTTCATTCTGGATAGAATTCAACGATGATTCAACTAGGCGGTGCCAGTTTGGCACATACAATTTCATTTCAATTGTGTTTTAAATTGTATTCTAATTTTAAAGCCCTTTTATGTCAAGAGAAGGTACCAACGTGACTTCGCTTGCGTTGAAAATTTGTGGATTAGATTTATAATTGACAGCATTTCACTAATCGATCGACTGCTTGGGTAAGAATCTGAAAATTTCTATATGTGATCGCAAAATATATACGAGGATTGCACTGAATTTGTAACGGAGGCTGAACAGTTATACCTAGTTTCAGAAAAACGCTGAAAATTGATCAACCAGAATATCTCACCAGTTACTCTTTAAACTCTCCCTGCCATTTCTGATTTTAAACCATAAATGCTTTTTATTCTTCTCTCGGGGTTGATCACTTAAATTTATGTTTACTGTGCAGAGGCCATCTGTAAGATGGCGTCCTCCACAGCTGGAGCATCTGCATCTAACGGTGCTACCTGCAGCAACGATAAGAAAAATGTTCGCATGAGCATACGTGGACTTTTGAATCTGTGCTCCAAATATACCGCGAAATTCATAGACATCGAGTGCAGCGACAAGCAAGCGGTTGATACGTACAAGAACTACATGGATAAATGTCATGGCTGCCCCTACAGTCAGACATCCTGGAAGATTATGTGTGGATCTTCAAATACGATTTTGGAAACTGTCAAGACTCCAGAGAACCTCGACATGACAGCTCTATCGTCACTCTTTTATTGTATCTTCAGCGTAAAGAAAGATGGAAGAGATCCAACAGAACTGTTGAAAAAAGTGGAAGCACTTGTGGTTGTCGTCAATGAAGTCTTGAGTAACGTCAGTTCAGTGGAAGATGCAAATAAATTTAAAGAAATACATCACAGATTATCGGACATGATCCAAGAAGCTGGAAAGTTCTACACTCTTTCACTTAGTGAAATACATGATTTAGAACAAAAGCTTGAACTTGAAATACGGTGTGGGTTTTCTCCAGTGGGTAAGATCCTGGCTAACGACTGCTGCCGAATTCTCACTGACGGCAAACAAATCGCAAGAGACAGATTCAAGATATTAACCGAANGCATATGATAATCTACGTTACTTGGCTGCGTTACTGCGTTACTCTGCAGTTTTATTTTACTGTGTTTCATTACTGCGGTATTCGGTTGCTAACATGATGCTGTTGCTTTAAGTTTTACTGCGTTTCTTCGATAGGTTTTCTGAACCCGTCGTTTTTGACAGTATTTGCGTTACTGGCAGTATGCGCGGGTCTATTAGTTACCGCAGTAACGGACTCCTGTGCAGCCACATGAATACCTTATGCTCTAGATTTACAGCACGACACTAAGTTTACAGCACGACCAGTTTTACAGCGTGTGTGTGTACAACCTGTCTCTTATACACATCTAGATGTGTATAAGAGACAGCACAATAGCTGTGCTTATTCTGGGTTTCTGTATTAATTTTTTGTGTATTAACATATTAATATTAATTAAGAATTAATAATAATATATTAATATTAATTGCCATTACAATCACTCCAGTGTCCAGGAAGTGATGGTATACGTCATTCAGGACTTCAGCAGCATCAGCCCACAGAAGTTCCAGGTTCGCTGGCCTGAGCTCAGGGCCGCCCTAGAGGTCGCTGGAGTCACCAGCGGCCGAGCCTGGCAGAGCCTGCTGCTCCGGAGTCCTGACGTCACGGAGCTGGCGAAGCACGCGGCCAAGATCACGATCGACGAGACTGATGAGTGGCATTTGCATTCTGGTGAGTTATATTCGAGTTGTAGTTGAGTAATAGAGATCGAGATAATAACAAAAGAAGTTTCAGCGATGATCAGGCCATCACACTTGTCGCCGATTCATGAAATCGCAGAAAATTAATAGCTAGTTGCGGGTCTCGAACACGTAACTCGTTGCTCAAATCTTGCTGTGCTTAACCGCCTGGCCTCCTCGCTGAACTGTCGCACAGAGCTGGGATCGAACCCGCATCTCTCTGCTCTAGTCCTGTACTCTGTACTGTAACCACTGGGCCACCATGCTCTTGGATGGTGTGTTATTTTATTACAGTCATGATCACCGAGACTAATGAGCGGCGTTTGCACTCTGGTGAATCGTATTTCTAGTGTAGTTGCACAAGAAGATGTTACAACCGAGCAAGTGAGTTACTTTATTAAGATCACAACGAAAGATACTACAGAGTTTCTAGCGCATTCCTGTGTTTCGGAAGTGGTGAAACTTTAGCCATTCATGGGCGGCTAGCATCAGGGCAATTTCCTTATAAACGCATTACCACGTAAAAATAGCTGAAAAACTAATACATGAAAAATTTGTCTCCAGCTAACGATGTGGTGGCTGTGGCGCTTACATTGCCACACGAACAGCCTCGCCTCATCGACATCAAGATGTCACCTGCCGTGCTGGGCGCTGAGAGGGCCAGCTGGCAGGAAATAACACGTCGGCACAAAGGACAACTGCAGCTGGACCTATCAGCTGGATTCCAGAAGGAGGCTTCAGGAAGTTCTCCTGAAACTGAAAACCGACCCGAAGCTTTCGACGATTTACTGGAAGACCTAAACGGTTCAAGGTCTGTAACGTTTATCTGACTATCCAAAAAGTGCATTAATTTTCGCTTCCGTCTATCCCAACCTTCGCCAATATTTATTGCTCCTGTAATATTTACATTATTGTTAGTTACAGTAATGTTTGCTGTTCAAGATTTATCTGACGACAGCATTTACACGTAAACACTCAAAGAAATGCAAAAGACTTTGTCCTGAAAGCAAAGCAATTTTTGCCATTCTGTGGATCGTTCTGAAGTAGTTTGGCCTGGAAAACTGCGTTTTAGTGCTACGTCCTCCCATTGCTCATGGTGTGGGCAAGAAAGGGTGTCAATATTAAGATAATTTTGCTCATTTATTTTTTTAGTGTTTATCAAGGCAATTATTTTCAACATTCATCTTATAATTTAACAATGATGTTGAGCCGCCATGGCGAAGTTCTAATACCTCACCCATTCCGATATTTTTTTAGAGACCATCTTCTGTTAAGGTCGTCGAAAGTAACTACCATTTGAAATGCAAATAATTTGATGACCTGGCGGTATCAGCCAACTATCCTTGTCATTTTTGGCATATTACCGATTTTATGACAGCTCACTAGACGTATAACTTTTTAATGCAAATGATTTTGTGTCGTACAGATGTCAGCTCACTCGCCTGATCGGCCGCATCAGCACCACGGCTGGCGTGTCTGCTGTGGCGTCGGTTTCAACCGCAGCAACTACGGATCTGCGGATCAGCCTCATCGCCCCCCTCAACTTGGACGCTCTGCAGGGCAAATACAAGAATCTATGTAAGTGCAAATCGTTAGCTTATTTGCGTGGTGATAAGCGTGGTGATAAACGGTGAGAGACGAGGAGCTACATAATGCAAACTGAAAAATGAGTATGACTTTGTCCCAATAGCGAAGCACTTTTTGTCGTTGTTTATATCATCCTGACCCAGTTTGGAGCGGAAAAAGGTCGTATCAATGCTATGTCCGCTTTCGGCACATATTGTAAGTAATAAGTAAAGAAGTTGTCGCTAATAGGACAACATGATTCATATTTTAATGAGTGCACGTCCAGAGGGGCGCCCTACGTAACGAAACACTCAGAAACGTTGGCGAGTCATTAGCAAAATAATGATACTTTCTTACCCACAGCACTAGCGGAAGTAGCGCTGATGCGCTTTTTCGCCACGTCAATCACATTAAAGATGACCCACAAAACGGTAGGAAGGCAGAATTATTTGGACATTGACTTTCTCATTCTCTTGAGTGATTAGCGTTTCCAATAGCGGCACACGGCTTCCAACTGTGTCGTCAAAGGCAGGCAGCCATATCAGGAGCATATTATATAACTCTGGATTTAATACTGAATCTCGAACTATACTCTTGAATGCAGGGATTTGAAATATGTAATAAAACGAATATTTCATTTGCAGTAGTGGAAATTAAGCCTCTGGATGGCTCTTGGGCTGCCGCAGCTTCAGCGCAGCGCCTGCCAGCCCAACCACCGTCACAGTTGCTGTTAATCGGGACCAAGCCCGGCAGTTGCGAGGCCATCGCCATAGCTGTTCGCACAATCACTCCTCCCGGAAAGAGGTATAATCGCATGAATTTTTAGCGATAAATTCATTAACATAAATTATTAATCAATCACTATCAATTAACATTATTTATCGGCACGATGCATGTATTTGGTCTACAAGTGAGACAGTACATTGTTATAGCTAACGATTCTTAACCATTAGAACCCCAGGCCGATTTTGACCAGATTTTTACTGCTATTTAAGATCTCACCCAGCTCGCAGCATCAATCTTAGCTTGGTAATAACTACTGAGCATAATGGCCCAGTGGTTAAAATTCAGAGTACCAGGATTGGAGCACAGAAGTTTGGGTTCAGTCCCAGTTCTGTGCGTCAGTTTCTGGTCAAATCGGCGTGGAGGCCGGACGGTTAAGCACAGCAAAATTTGAGCAGCGAGTTGCGTGTTCCAGACCACAGTAAGCTGTGAATGTTCTGCAATTTTAGTGATCGGATATCAGTGTCAGCGTCCATAAGGCCGTACGACTGTACAGCCTAATGGACGCCGACATCGCTATCCCACTATACCTAAGCTCATAGCTTTCTGTCAGCAGACTTGGCAACATATCGCTGGTGAACTGCGGGCTTGGGGAAGATGAGATCAACCAACTACTGGTGCAACTGCACAACGACGGCATTAGGAGCGCCGATGGCGGCCATACAAGATTTACTAGAAGCGGGTGAGTCTCAGTGGTAACTGACACACATGTCTTGAGTCTCGAGTGATTAGGCCAAACTTGTCGTAAAGCTCAATGATAACACAAATAAAATTTGGGCGCAACCTAGGCTTTTGCTCATGAATCGCTACAAACGTGTTAAAGTTATTCTGGCTCTGCTTGACCACCCGATCAAAATTAGTTTGTCAGAATCTCCTTTCTGACATTATAGTCGCCAGAGAGTATTAGAAAGTTTGCCGAACCGAGTAATACCTAGCTTGCAAGCTGTCCAGACGCTGCCCTTCGCCCAGAACCCAAGTGGAAACAGAGCGGCTGATTTACCTGCTCCCAGAGTCCTAGGCGGCACTTATCGCAGAGTCGGACCAGCATGTAAATTTTTGTTGGAAAACAGGCACGCGTCTCGAGTGCAACAGTCAGACGTGCTATTATTACTTAGTTTCAGTAGCCATAAACCCTGAACTCACCAACCACCTGCTGCTGAACAGGGACGGAGACGTGACGCTGTGTCTAGCGGACGACCTCCCAGACGGCACCTGGTGAGTGGCCTAGGCGACAGTGCAAATTCATGCAATCAATTTCATGCAATCAAATTTTTTTGTCAAACTCTGTCATTATGACAGGCTTTTATATACGTTGTTTCCTGCGTAGGCCTACGGGCGCCGCAGCCCAAGACGTCTCCCAGTCACAGTCCAGCAACGCAACCCAGGCTGATCCCATGCCGTTGCTGGACGAAAGCGCCGGAACACAAGTCGCCGCCCAGTCACAGTCCAGCAGCGCAGCCCAGGCTCATCCGCCGCCGTTGCTGGACGCGGGCGCCGCACCCCAAGTCGTCGCCCAGTCACAGTCCAGCAGCGCTGCCCAGGCTCACCCGCCGCTTCTGCTGGGCGCGGGCGCCGCACCCCAAGTCGTCGCCCAGTCACAGTCCAGCAACGCCGCCCAGGCTCATCCGCCGCTATTGCTGGACGCGGGCGCCTCGGCGCGGAGGTGGCGAAATGAATGCCTCCGCCTTCCCCAGGAGTCGCTGGTCACCATGTTCGTTGCGGTGTCAAGCCTGGTGGAGGAAAAGCACTTCGTCGTAACGGAAAGTAAGATTCAGGCGCACGAAACATTTCCCGTGAACTTACTGCACATTTTCTGAATGTTCGTTCAATTGTTAATATTTGAAACAGTTTACGTACAAACGTTGTTATGGCGTGTTTGTGAAAACAAATGTTGATTTTTGATAAATGTTCATTTTTTGACATATGTTCATTTCTTGACAAATATCCATTTTTTGACAAATGTTTATTTAGTAAAATGTTCATTTTTGAGAAATGTTAATTTATGGCAAATATTCATCGATAGACATGTAATCGATAAAATTGTTACTTTTAATGCTGAAATGTGTAACAAAACACACTCTCACAGAATTATGTGAGACATTGTCTAAATATCGATGTACTTGTTCCCTTGTATGGGGCCTCGTGATCAAAATTGTCTCGACAGAAGGGTATATATGTTCAACGTGCAGAAACTATGTCAGTATTACGACAATACGACCTAGTATTTTTTCCTAGTATGCTGCATCTATACTGTATCTAGAGGGCAGGGTGGCCTAGTGTTTAAAGTTCAGCAGAGCACCAAGATTGGCGCAGAGAGGCGCGGGATCGATCCCAGCTCTGTGCGACAGTTTCTGGTCATAATCGGGGGGAGGCCGGGCGGTTAAGCACAGCAGAATTGTAGCAGTGAGTTGCGAGTTCGAGACCGCAAAATGCAGTGAATGTTCTGCGATTTATTATTATTTATAGAAAAAACTCAAATTAAAACTTTATCAAAACACAGCTTGCTTCTTGCAGGCCGTGACCTGGAAGCCGTTGCCCTCATGCTGCCCCACGTTAGTGACAAGTCCGTGCTTGTGAAGACTTCACCAAGCGCCCTCAGGTTAGTCCCATGTGACACAGAAAAGATTTGTATCATTATAATCAGAAAATTATCGAAATTTTGTCCAAAAGCGCACATTTACTCTTGTATGTGTCATCCTGACCCAGATTGGCTCAAAAAATATACGTATCTGAAAGTGGGTCCATAATTAGACGATATGACGTCATAACTTTTATGAGTGTAATTCGCTCACAACGCAAGTTTACCAAGAATTTAAAAGAAAAGAATATGCCAAGTAAATTCACGATGTCATCATTCAATTACGACATAGGGATTTACTAGCCGTTTCTTTCACATCTAGAGCAGAAACTTGTTAAGACATAGCATCCTAAGTACACGTAGCAGCCTTAGCACACGTAGCAGCCAAAGTACACTTAGCGGCCCAGGTACACGTAACAGCCTAAGTACATGTAGCGGTATAAAGTACACGTAGCGGCCTAAGTACACGTAGCGGCCTAAGTAAACGTAGCGGCCAAAGTACACGTAGCGGCCTAAGTACAGGTAGCGGCCTAAGCACACGTAGCGGGTGATTCCTCGTCCGGGTTAGTTTAGGTTGAAAAGATATCAGTGAGTAGGAGTTAGGCTGTAAAAGCTACGAATTCCTAACTAATTTTGATAGTGCGGCCCCAGGTAATTTAAATGAAGTGGTACCTAAAAAATCCCTCGTCTGTCACTATTTCAGATCTCCAATGTGGCAGCAGATAGCGCAGCAGCACCAAGGCCAATTCTTCATCCATCTTCTGAACATAAACTTTGTATTCCAGCCATGCGATGACGTCCTACAGCCTCTACTTAGTAACAGGTGAATCATCTTCCGGTGAACAGTTTAGCGTAGATGCGGCCTTTAAAACTTTTGAACTTTAGTTTTTAAAGTTTAAAAGCAGTTTTATAACTCATCCTCATATAACTCATATAAAATCAGTTTTATACTCTTCCTTTCAACTTTGGATCGTGTTTTTGCTTTGGTATGTTAGATATTGAGTCCGTTTTGTGTTTGGAAACTTTTTGCATTTTACTTTTTCACAATTATTTTACGATCTCCGACCGACCGACCCATGAACATGGACTTTACTTCAAAAATTCGGAAATTCATAACGTTAATTTGTATTTAAATAGAATGAAAATTCTTTACATTGATAAATGAATTCTAATAGTTGATGAATGAGCAACATCTAGAATTAAGAATACATTTTATGTTATATTTTAACTTTAACTCCTTGTCATCTTGTTTACAATAATCAAAGTCTTAGATGGTTGAAGCATGCTCAATATTTATTGTGCATATTGATAATAAATTTACTTTTGTTTTGTTATCATTTACCAATTAAGAAAATACTGCTCAGTAATGCATTAGTAAAAACATTTCAGAGCCTCAATATTTACTATTATATTACAATATATGCGCACCACTGTGAAGTTAGAACAAATCTCAACGATGCCTTACTCTCAGATAAATATATGGCTCATATTGTCTAAATAGTGACACACTTCGTGCGTGCAGCAATAATACGTCTTTTTTTCCGGGCCTAACTGAGCCTGGATGACCTACAAAGTGGCAAAATGTGTCTCGCAATTTGTACTAAGTACCATTCATTTATTTGAGTGTACAATTGTTTCAATTTTCGAGATAACAAAAACATTAAAGGATTTAGAATCCTTTTAATCCTACAGGTGCAGGATCAAAGGATTCCAAGGATGCATGCAGACCGCGGCAGGAATCTCAGCCCTGGCCTCAGTGTGTGGACTTGCTCCTCCAGCCTACGTCCACATTCAGCTCGAGGCTCCGCTGGACCTCAGTCCACTGCTCGGCAAATGTGACAAGCTCTGTGAGTAACGCACTCAGGGGACTTTATGGACTTTGTCTGAATTGCGATGCATTCTTGGCTTTTTATGGGTCATCCTGACCAAGTTTGGGCTATCAAGAGGGCAATTAAAGCTACGTCTGCTCTCTGCTCGTGCTGTGAGTAAGAAAGTGTGTAAGTTTTTGAACAATTCCACTTATTCTTTTTTTGAGTGCGGGATTGTTTATACCAGTTAAATTTTCTTGAACTGTAAAAATATTAACATGAAATTAATATATTTATACCCTCACAGGAACCGTATAGTCGGCGTATACCCATAGGTGAAATTGGTACGGTGACGTCATTGTATACATCTATACCTGCAGGTGCATATACACCAGTGGTTTAATTTATACCCGTTGTTACTTTATCTAAACCTGCAGGTTTATATAACGGTTGAAATAATACCGGCTGTCATTTTATCTTTACCTGCAGGTGTATATACCCCAGCAGTTGACATTATAACATAACATAGTGATGTTAGCATTAAACCGCAGCTGCCACGTATCAGCCCAGTTAACTAAACTGTCAAGATCATCTTGCAATTGCGCTTTATTTGACGCATCTTTCACTGTATTGTAAACTTTTGTGTCGTCGGCATACATGGAGCACACGCTGGTAACTACTTCTTGTAGATCGTTTATAAAAGCAACGAACAAAATAGGCCCAAGAACGCTTCCTTGTGGCACGCCACCGCTCATTGATGCCCAGTCTGACACGGTTCCGTTAATGCTGACACTTTGTCGTCTACCTACTAGAAAATCTCTGATCCATTGGAGTACGTTTCCCTCAATTCCCAAAGACTTCACTTTACGCAACAGCCGCTCAAATGGGACACTGTCAAATGCTTTGGCATAATCGAGGTACAATGCATCCACTGGCTCCCTTTCGTCCAGCAGGTGAGTCCACTCGTTCAACGTAGATAATAAGTTAGTGGTGCATGATCTACCGGCAATAAAACCATGTTGATAATCTGATAGGAGATGGTGAACAGTCAGGTGAACGATAATTAATCCCATCCCTCACAACAGATTCCATTAGCTTACAAACAACACTTGTCAGACTGACAGGGCGATAGTTACCGGGGCTGCTTTTGTCACCTTTTTCGAACAATGGTGTTACTTGAGCTTCTTTCCAATCGGACGGCAAAATTCCTTCGTTCAAGGTTTTTGAAAGAATACTGTCAACGGGCCGGCAAGAACGGCTGCTAATTCTTTGAGCAATCCGGGATTTAAGCCGTCTGGTCCACATGACCTGTTGGGATTTAGAGCTACCAGGCGCAGTCTGGCGCATGAGAACCTCTTCTTCGTGTATTTCAAAGCCTGTTAACTTCAAGCCGGTTGGGCACTCCTCATTATCTGGAATACTGTTCAAGTCCTCATCTGTGAACACACTGCTGAAGAACTGATTAAGAACGTTAGCCTTGCCCTCATTAGAGGAAGTCTTTCTTTTGTCTACTTTCAAATCAGTATACCGTCCTTTGACTTACACTTCGAACTAGCGTACAAAAAGAAGTCTTTCTGATTTTTTGGCATTTCTAGCAATATTTTTTTCGAAGTTTTTCACTGCAGTGCGGCAAACTTTTTTAGCTTGATTTCGAGCTCTTGCAAACAGGTTATAATCAGAATCGCTGCGAGTTCGTAAATAACGCTTGTTGGCTTCTTTCTTGGTCTTTAGCTGAGCCTTAACGGCACTGTTTATCCACTGGGACTTTTTGACTCCTCCAAGCGTAATTTTAGGTACACAGGTATCAACTGCTGACATAACCGTGTCCTTGAAAAACGACAATGAATCAGCCACATTCATGTCCTTAAAACAGTCCGAAATATTCGCCGCATTCACCGCTTCACGGAGTTTATCATAGTCGCCTTTCGCAAGGCTCAAACGTTCACGCTTCCGAAGCGTTTTTTTTTCTGCACAACACTTAATACTGAAAAACAATGATTTGTGGTGGCTTTTGTCCAACGGAGCCTCGTGGCAAAGCTCATCTATCATTGATTCTTCACTAGTAAACACTAGATCAAGAATATTTGAGATCTGTTTACCCTTAAAATGGGGTGGGCTCGGTGCTGTTCTGGATTAAAAATGAGTCTCGCACTTTATCGTTATCAGAGGAGCTGTTAGATGATCTATAAAGGACTCCTATGAGGAGGCTATCCTTGCCTTTAAGAGTAAGTTCGCACCACACTGATTCTCTAGTCTAGCTGATTGATGCTCTGCAGATAACTTGACTGGCTGGGCCCCATAAGAGGTTCTAACCCACAGAGCTACACCTCTACTGCACTGCTCTTCATTTAAGTTATGAAAACAATCAAAACCTGGCAACTGAAATTCAACAGGTACAATTTCCCCCCGTGATTTTTAGGGAGTGTTTCTGTAATACAAAAAATTTCTATACACTCGTTTGCAATCACAGTTAACAATTCAATTTTTTTGTTCAAAGCGGAATCCGAGTTCGTGCGAAAACATTTTAAAACTTTTTGCACTTTCACTTTGATTTTTGCGGTTTTGGACATTACTTACAGGTCTGGAACTGTGGACATGACTTTTACTGTTTACTTGTCTTCCAGCTCCGCTAACTGGTCGTGTGCGGCCGGTGTTGTCTTGACATTGCGAGAGTGGTAGTCCTGATTTTCCGTGCTTTTCCGCCTGATTCTCTCCTGCCATTTTATGCGAAAATCCTCTCTCTCTAAAGGGGTGAAATCCTTCTTTACAAAAAGGGAGTGGTACTCAGGAGATTCTCCAAGCTTTCTCGCTGCTTTCAGCACGCTTCCACAACCTGTGACCTGTGCAGGCTCCTTTACAGTCACCAACAAAGGTTTGCAGGTGTTGGCAGCAGCATCCTTCGAGCGTAGCCTCTTGCACGATTTAATATCAACCGGTATGCTGAGTGCCTAGCTACCTCATTCTGCAATGAATTCAGCATCAGCCATCACTCAGTCCTTCGTATCAGATGCGGAACTCTCAGGAACTCCAAACCAAACCAAGTGGCACTTCCCACGTTCTCTGTCCAGTAACTCGCGGATTGTCATTTTCAGCTCCACCAGTTGTCATTTTATCTATACCTGCAGGTGTATATAATGGTTGAAATTATACCGGTTATCATTTTATCTATACCTGCATGTATATGTAAAGGTTGAAATTATACTTGTTATAATTTTATCTATACCTGCAGGTGTATATACCCCAGTGGTAGACACCGTCAGAGCCACCATGCACCTGCCGGACCAGCCTGTCCCCCAGCTGGTGGTGCTGGGGGCCCCAGCTGGCAGCTGGAAGGCCGTGGCCCAGACGGTGCTGATGTACGCGCCTAGAGGCAAGAGGAGGTCAGTCGCGGAAAAATAAATAAAATTCTCTAAAAATACATTTTTAAAATAAAAAAAAATTTTGAATATTAATACATTAAAATTTTAGAAAAATATAAGTGTCACAAATTAGAATAGAAAACAGAAGAAAGTCCAGAAATGGCAACGTGAAGTATTAATATGTATATTATGTGTGAATATTATTTATATTTTGTATAATTATTGTATTTATGTAGTATATATAATTGTTATAACATAAAATAATGTGAAAATGCTTTTATTTTACGAAATTTGGAATGTAATTGAATAAATACAAGTTTGTGTAATATATAAATCTCACAAATCCTAACTTTCAGGATTTCAATTGTTGATTAAACTGATTGTAAAGTCAACTGCATCTCGTTCGTTTCGGCCATAATTGCGAACAAGTGTCTGGCACACGAAATTTATAATATGTAACAATTATTATTATGGGTAATTTAGACATTATTTCTTCAGAAAAAAATTTTAATGGTATATTAAATAAAATCTGCACTATTCATCAATGTGCTTCATCAATGTCGCAATAGAAAGAAAATTTACATCTCCATACTTTACTTCAATGCAGAGCATTTCTTCTGATTTATTTTATAATTGAAATAAACATCATAAAAATTTTCACAAGGAAATTAAAATTCCATTTTCTCTTACCTAGTGACGTGCAATGCATCCTTCTCCCAATATTCCCAACACTCTATCCTTGTCGCAGGTTCGAATCCCTGCACCTGAAAAACTCGGGGCTGAGCGCCGATGAGCGGCGGCGGCTGCTGCGTCTGTTGCACGTCAAGCGCGTCAAGACCGGCGACTCGGGCGCCACGCGGGGCGAGATGTTGGGGTGGGTTTATATATATGACGGTATATTTATAGTGCATGGAGTTTATATATGACGGTGTATATATAGTGCATGGAGTCTATATATGACGGTACAGTGGGGTTGAGGAAGAGTGGGGTTAAGGCTCTGATTGAGAAACGCGAGGCTACAAACAGGCTTGGCTCTTCCCTATGAGTTTCTTCACAAATTAGGCTGGACTTTACTTCACTCGTAAATGAGATGGCGTTAGGGATTTTTCCATGCTTACCCAGCTCTTTATTTATAAACTGTGACCAGGAACAAAAAATATGTAAACTTTGTATTAAAAGAGTTACAATGAAACGAAATTTAAAGAAACTTTGAATATTATTGTTTATCAAGTCTGCGACTGTTACACTTTTTTTGACATATAAAAGGGTTGTAATTTTTATTTTCAATTGAATGGTATACTCGGAATTTCTTGATAAGCCTCCTTGTTGTAGATTTTTTCTACCAAAAAATAGTTATGATCGAGCCTGCTGATACGCGGAGGGAAAATCCCGCATATTAACTGCTCAAGTCGTCAGTCGTGAAAAGATCCGGTCAAATGACACGATTTTAGATCTTCTGTGAACAAGGCACGAAAAGGAAAAGAATCGGCGACAGACCACATCAGGCCTACACTGCAGCGCCGAGATCACTATGTTATGTTATGTTAAATGCAGGTGATATGGAAGTTATGAGGGAAATGAGACGTCGTAAATTACTGAGCTGTCAGTTCACGACGGGCAGCATGGTGAAGGCGAACTCAATAAGGGGCGAAGAATAATACGTGGCCAGTGGTCGGCCTATCCAATTAGTTATAGCCGACCGTTGGCCATTCCTCGGCCACCTGAAAGCGACCAGTTGCCGCGAAGAAGGGTCTGGCTAGGATATCATATTACAAAGAGTACAAGCTCGAGGGTAGCGACTGGCCGAGCTTTGGGCAGATCAAGGATTTTACACGATGGTTGCGAAAAACTCGCTCTCAGACTTCACTGCATTCTGACTACCAGCCTTAAGTGGGCTAGTACTTAATAATTAAATCCCTGAAAAGGGATTTATTGGGACTGGACTGGATTGAATGGTGCTGAGTTGAAGTAAGTGGGATTAAGGCGGAGTGGGGATGCTGCTGAGTGGGTATGGTGGGTCTGAGTGGAGTTGAGGCAGAGTGGGATTGAGGCTGAGTGAACTAAGTGGGGCTGGGTGGGGTTGAATGATCTGAGTAGAGATACTATAGTTGGATGGGTTTGAGCGGGGTTGATGCTGGCTGGGGGTGAGGCTGAGCGGGGTTGAGGCTGAGCGGGGTTGATGCTGGCTGGGGGTGAGGCTGAGTGGGGTTGTGGCTGAGAAAGGCTTTTACAAAACCGGTATAGTGTGGCAGAATAAGCGTTTCAATATGAACCTGCGTACATTAATTCACACTATAGCTAGCAGGGCCACGGCCACTTCCCAACTCTCCTCATTTGACGATATTCCTTATTCGAAATTCACTCCTAAATTTCTCCCTAGTACAGGTTAGCCTAAATAAACGTGTATACTTACGCAGACCTGACCTACCATCAATAATATGTACGAGTTAAAAACTCTGTTCGCCAAACACAGACGGTTTTTCCAGCTAGACCCACTAACCACTGACGATGAATCGGGCGCTCTGTATACTTAGGCCGTTACGTGTACTTGAACGGTTAAATGTAATTAGTCCTCTACGTGTATTTAAGCGTGTTTTGATAGTTCGGCGTCTGAATGTTTCACAAGAATGTTTCACATGCCACTTCTGATTCAACTCGGACCCACTCAATAACCACTAGGCTGGAGCAAGAGATATTCAAGCTCACAGTTTCAAATGAAATATGGCCGCCGATTATTGTGATTTAATCAATCAGCCTAAATATTAACCAAGTAAATTTCGACGTGGAGTGAGATACCACAGTAGCAGACGTTGTCTACAGTGGCATGACTGTCCCACCAATGGCTTGACAGCAATCTTGCACTGAGAGAAATGGGCGGGTCTGGATGACCCACTTTGATGAGTCAACCGCGTCCGAAAATCGATGCACTTTTTTGACTCACTTACCCCATTTGTGGGTCATACTGACCCATTAAATTTCAAGCATGACTCACTTGTGGCGTTAAATCGCTCTGACGCTCAGATGCTAACTACGTATCCATGCTACGGGTGGCGTCATAAGGGATTTGACGTCACAAGTGAGTCATGCCTGGAATTTAATGGGTCAGTATGACCCACAAATGGGGCAAGTGAGTCAAAAAAGTGCATCGATTTTCGGACGCTGTTGACTCATCAAAGTGGGTCATCCAGACCCGCCCATTTCTCTCAGTGTGGCTGTCAAGCTGTGACGTAGAAGCGTTGAATAATTTTTAACTTAAGTTACGCTTATTTAAGATTCATTTGAACCTCAATCTATTGTGAAATTCGGATTGTATATTCTGCATTAAATTAAAATTCAATGATTTATTGGTTAGATCATATTTCTAAATCACAGCTTTCAAGCGCCTCAGCCCAGAATTAAATTTCACATTCAAATCTCGATGCGATATGCATGAAGATTACGTGCTCCAAAACCATCTCCGTACATATAAAGTGAATTGCATAAAACACATAGATTTCCTAAGTAAAAATACCAAATAAAATTGTATCTCCGTCTGGTTAATGATGGGTCCACTATGCCAGCCAGCCATCAGGCTCATGCATTCCATATTCCATAATTTACAGCAGTAAAAAATAAGTGAAATTTTTACAAATATGAGGGACCAGCGATATTTTAAGAAGATTGACGGGGAGCAAGGGAATTTGATGAAAGATGTACAACTGCGTATTGCCTAAGACGCGCTGGCGTCGTGCGATGCCTGATTTCGCACCGCTTACTACGGAGATTCAGTGGCAAAGACGGCGTCTTCTGAGGTGTTGCTCGAGCGAGTCAGGTCACAGTAGGCGCTAGTGACGTGATTTGTGACACATTATTTGACCTAGTGTGACCTACTGGGTCACAACCCACGTCACCAGCGCCTAATATGACCTGCCTTGCTCGAGCAACACCTTAAAAGACGTGGCCATTGCCAGGTATAACCTCCGATGTAAACGGTGGGGCACTAACATCGCGTCTTCAATTTAACCGTGATGGGTAATACGCAGTTGTAATTGTACATACATCTAGAATTAAATTATCCAGAAAATGATGAAACACAAGGTCATTGGAAGCTAAATAAAGCTAAAGTTTCTAATGAATAAAAAAATATACATAAATTTGATGCTACCCATTTAAAAATCAAGGCCGTGGCCCGGAAGGTGTGCCTTGTTGAAAAAACTCAACTTTAAATTAAATTCATGCGAATACAGTGATTATACTGCATACAAATGTCCTGTATAGTTGACCTAAATTAATACTGTTCATCATTTTCCTGTATAGTTAATCCGAATTTTTCAGCATTTTCACTTCGTGAACTTTAATCCGAGCTCTTCAGCATTAAGCAATTGAAATATTTAATGTAATTGTTTTTTTTTAAAGTGGTGTAGGATGAGGACACTTAATCAGAGGCGTTGTGGGCCTGGGTCAAGCTATATTCTTTAATAATTTTTGCATCGTCAGAGATGATATCTGATGTTTTTTCATCAACAGCTCTGTTGATACTCGTTGACATTTCTCATCAATCAACAGAGACGGCGACATTTGCCTCCACATCGGCAGCTGCCCCCCACGGACTGATGCAGAGGCCTGTATCAGCTGCACGGACTACATCTGATGCAGGCATCAGCTGCGCCGACTGCATCTGATGAAGGAATCAGCTGCACGGACTGCATCTGATGAAGGCTTCAGCTGCACGGACTACATCTGATGAAGGCTTCAGCTGCACGGACTACATCTGATGCAGGCATCAGCTGCACGGACCACATCTGATGAAGGCTTCAGCTGCACGGACTACATCTGATGAAGGCTTCAGCTGCACGGACTACATCTGATGAAGGCATCAGTTACAAGGACTACATCTGATGCAGGCATCAGCTGCACGGACTACATCTGATGAAGGCATCAGCTGCACGGACTGCATCTGATGCAGGCATCAGCTGCACGCACTACATCTGATGCAGGCATCAGCTGCACGCACTACATCTGTTGAAGGCATCAGCTGCACGGACTACATCTGTTGAAGGCATCAGCTGTACGGACTGCATCTGATGCAGGCATCAGCTGCACGGACTACATCTGTTGAAGGCATCAGCTGTACGGACTGCATCTGATGCAGGCATCAGCTGCACGGACTACATCTGTGCTGATAATATCAGTCTAAATCACACACGCCGTATCTATGATACGAACTACCGTGCTTGATGGCATGTAAGTTATTGCAATATTCAATCCGATGATAGCTTTATCATTATATCAATAGTTTAATTAAGTACTAGTTAATTTAAGTTATTTTATAGCCTGGCATTTATTTATGTTTTGTCAACGCTACTTTTCGCTACTGCCTGTTTGTTGTGATGACATCACGTGCTTCACTCTAAAAAATGTGCGTTTAAAATTACGTTTTAAAGACAACACTTCTAAAGAATACAGTGTTTCCGATGTTACATATCTACAATGAATTTCTAATTTTATTTCCATATGTTCAAAAATTAATTTTTAAATTCTTTTTAATATATGAAAAAAGTTTAAATATTCAAAATTATTTATTATGCCAATTTATTCTTATATTGTCTCCGACTTTACGCAAGTGTGCAAAATTTTAGATCTATTGGACAGGTAGTAGTGTGTTGAATTTTGATTATAAGATTTATGGCAGACAGACAAACAACAAGAAGTGAAGTTAAAGAGAAGTGTTGTAAAAATGAGCGAGTCTTTGTCTAAATATCATTGCACTTTTAGCCCTTTTGTGGGCCGTCTTGACCGAGTTTGGCCCGGCAAAAGGCCGTATCAGAGCTACGTAAGGACTTTAACTCGATAATCACGGATTTATCTTTTAACTCAAATTATCGATAGCAATTGAGGACTTAAATTCGATAATCGGGGATTTTAATCATATATAATAAATTCGTTATACAATTGTATTCATCTAGCTTTTCCTTTCTTTTGTAGGGGCTTATACCGTATAAGTACGGCGACTAAATGATTATAAATCAGAAGTCACGCACGAATCACTATAGGTATCTCCATCGATGATTGACGTTAGGATTATTGAAACGTTTTCAATTTTAAGAAATTATTTAAAATAATTTAAAGATATTTACAGACTGGAGTCATTTCAACCGTAAATTTAATTTCATGGACCATTTTATCCATTTTAATTTTATAATTCAATCGATAGTTATTATAATAATTAATAGTTAATTTCAATTTAATCGATATATAAAGAGGTAGCTCCAGTAAATATGCAAGGTTGTCTCGTGGTAATAGTTCTGAGCACCAGAATTTGAGCAGTGAGTTGCGGGTTCGATCCCAGCTCTGTGCGAAATTTCTTGTCAAATCGAAGAGGAGGTCGGACGGTTAAACACAGCAAAATTGGAACAGTGAGTTGCGTGTTCGAGACCCACAACAAACTGTGAAAATTTTACGGCGTTTAGAATGGCCCATCTACGGAAGTGTCACGAATAGGAATCGATCAGACCCAAGGCATCAAAAGAAAATTTATAGACCCTGGTAAGATAATTTTGCGGTGAAGTTCAACTTTAATGTTTAGTGGTAGGATGGCAGGACTTCTGTTCTACCCAATTCGTAATATAATATAGTTTTGTCAATTATGATTTTTTTCGAAGCAGACAAAAACAGTGACACACAAATTGAAAATAAATTTGGATTTACGTACGACATTAAACGAGGAGTTGAACAGGCAAAACAAATCAAAATAATCTTTATTTAATCTTATCTCTATTATTTATTTAACCTTACATTGTAGACAAACTAAAATATGCTGTCGGAGACGAACAATTCTAAGTACATAGCACTCACAATAATTAGTGGCTCATATTGTCCAAAAATATGATCCACTAAATAAAATTGTTTAAATGTCAATAAATAATAAATATTATTAAATTAAAAAAATAAAAAAATTGCCACTAAATAAAATTGATCACTAATTGACTGTGACTAATAAAATTGACTAAAAATATGATCCACTAAATAAAAATTGACACACTTTCTTACCAACAGTACACGTAGCAGTGAGAGGGCACGTAGCACTGATACGCCCTTTTGCTGGGCCAAAGTGAGTCAAGATGACCCACACAAGAGCATAATGTGGACAAAACTCCTCGCTACTTGAATTAACTCTCACAGAACATCATACAAGGGAACATACAATAAATAATGATGCCATAACAATTAATTAATTAATTTAAATTATTTAATTTAATTAATTAATTTAATTTAATTAATTTAAATTAATTAATTTAATTTAATAACTTAAATTAATTACTTTAAATTAATTAATTTAATTATTTAATTAATTAATTTTAATTAATGAATTAATTGACGCATTACAATTACTTTCATTAATTGTTAATTGATTGACGAAAATGTTCGGATGATTTTAAATGTTTTTAATTTCAAGAATTGATATAATTAATTTAATTTAAAGCTTTGGGCCACCTCAATTAATTGTAACTTACATAATTGTAATAATTTAATAAATTCTATATTATTTAATTGTATCAGCTTAATTGTAAATTAATTAATTGTAATAGTTTAATTAATTGTAATAACTTAATTGATTGTCCATTAATTAATTGTAATTGTTAAATTTATTCTACTACTGATGACTAGAGAAAATACTTATGAAAAAATTAAATACCCATTTTATGTGAGTAATTCAAGGGATATGCAAAATTTTTATGCGATATTTGAACAAAATATTTCGCAAAATAATTGTTGAAAATTTAATATACAATGAAATTTGAGAATGTTATTTTTTAATAATTTTCTGGTACTCAAGAATTTCGGCTAGAAATAAATGGTTAGCAGGAACAAATTATGCCTTGAACAACCTGAAATTATTAATCATAAATTATTGCTATAAATTATTAATCATAATTATTAATATAAATTATTAATCATAATTATTAATCATAAATTATTAATCGTAATAGTGAACATACAAATTTAATTTTTATATTAAACAATCAATTTCACAACAATATTTAATTAATGGTTACCTCAAAAATTAGGTTTTTATGTAAACCATTAATAATTAAAAATTATTGTAAAAATTGATGGTGATGTAGGCGTCAGATTATCAATATTAATACAAAATTAATTTCACTGTTAAACATTAATTTTCACACCAATTTTTAATTATTAAAGGTTAACATAAAAACTTACTAAGATCTAGCTCTTGTGTACCGGAATTTAATTATTATTGGTTAACATATAAACCTAAATCTATCTCTTATGTACTGTAATTTATATATTAATGGTTAAATAAAAACTAAATCTATCTCTTATGTACCGTAATTTATATATTAATGGTTAAATAAAACCTAAATCTATCTCTTATGTACCGGAATTTAAATGTCAATGGTTAACATAGAAACCTAAATCTATCTCTCATGTACCGGAATTTAAATGTTAATGGTTAAATAAAAACTAAATCTAGCTCTCATATACCGGAATTTAAATGTTAATGGTTAAATTAAAACTAAATCTAGCTCTCATATACCGGAATTTAAATGTTAATGGTTAAATTAAAACTAAATCTATATTTTATGTACCGGAATTTAAATATTAATGGTTAAATAAAAACTAAATCTATCTTTTATGTACCGTAATTTATATATTAATGGTTAAATTAAAACTAAATCTATATTTTATGTACCGGAATTTATATATTAATGGTTAAATAAAAACTAAATCTATCTCTTATGTACTGGAATTTATATGTTAATGGTTAAATAAAACCTAAATCTATCTCTTATGTACTGGAATTTATATATTAATGGTTAAATAAAAACTAAATCTATCTCTTATGTACTGGAATTTATATGTTAATGGTTAAATAAAAACTAAATCTATCTCTTATGTACTGGAATTTATATATTAATGGTTAACATATAAACCTAAATCTATCTATGTACCGGAATTATGTTTAGTTAAATCATGCAAGTTATTAAGCTTATGCCCGGGATGTTTCTTAAGAAAATGTCGCCTGAGCACATCAGGTCTGTCGGTGGCATACTCACATAGATTACATTGATGAGGTTTATAGTTATAATGCTTCGTCATAATATGGGACTTTAACCTATGAGCTGTGACACATGAGAAACTACACTTGGGACACTCATATGGCTTAATAGTCGCGTGTTTACTCATAAAGTGTTTTGTGAGTACATGTTTAAATGCTGCTGAGTAATCACACTCCGGGCATTTAAACTTCTTAACCCCTGAATGTCTGCACAATACGTGCTGGATAAAGTTTTTTCTTACTACACTCGAGTAATCACAATCCGAACACTCGAACACTTTTTGCCGAGGGTTCTTATCGCATGTATTTTTTTCTCGTGTACGTTTCGAGTCAATATAATTTATATGGGGATTTTTCCCTTGAGATTTTAGATCCATTTTGATGTTCAACCTTGTTCGCCGGTTGTTTTTATTGCTTGTATTTTTTTCTCGTGGGGCTTTAGAATCAATATTATTTATATTGGAATTTTTCCTACAAGATTTTAGATCATTTTTTTCTGGTGGAGGTTCGAAGTCAATATTATTTATACCGGCATTTTTCCCATGACGTTTCACATCAATTTTGATGTTTAATCTTGGGTTACTGCCGCCTGGGTCTTGGTCATCGAGGACAACATCACATTCAATCACATGGTCGTCAACAGTTGCAGTACTGCACCCTGTAGAAGGGGTGCGTGGGGTGTCAGGTGCCACTCCCGCCTCGACCTGCAGCAAAAAATTGACTTCAGAATTGGATAAATAGTAATATTCACAAATTACATATAGTACCTATATACAAAATAATATATAATTATATTTATATAAATTCAAGGGATACTGATTAATATTTATATATTAGAAATAAAATGTGACTTCAGAATTGGATAAAAAGTAAAATTCACAAATTAAATATAATATATACAAAATCATATTTTAATTTATATATTATTAAATTCATATAATTATATTTATATACGGTAATTATATTTATATACGGTAATTATTTTATATTAATATTTATATACTAATATAAAATGTGACATCAGAATTAAAAAAAAAATTCAAGATTTGTACTATATGTTCTTTATCTAATCTAAAATATCTATTTCGTATCTTTCTGCATCTAGCTTCATCTATTCTGTACCTACCTGCACATATTACAATTTTGGTTGATATAAATTAATAATAAATTTTAGGATAATTTGAATGAATTGATAATAAAATTAAGATTGATCTAAATTAATTAATATTAAATTTAGGTTCATTCAAATTAATTAATATTAGAATTTAGGTTGTAAGTTAAAATCATAGATAAAAATCAAATTTGATAACATAAAAATAAATTTTAGGTACTATATTTTTTGGAGTGTGACAGCATTTTTGTTGAAGATTTAATGGACTATAAACATTTCCCGTTGGTTTAATAGCAAGAGTTGTGTTCATTACAACTAAATACAATCTTTAACAACACACAAGATGAAGAAAAAACATCAGCCATACATCAGCACCACTGCCATACATCAGCACCACTGCCATACATCAGCACCACTGCCATACGTCAGCACCACTGCCATACATCAGCACCACTGCCATACGTCAGCACCCCTGCCATACATCAGCACCACTGCCATGAAATGATGCAAAAATTCCATATGGTCTTCAATGCTTCATTAAAATGAAATGGTATGTTAGTATAATTAAAAGTAGATATAAAGAGGTTAAAATTAACTATAACATTTCTAACTATTAGAACAATACTTTTTTGTAACTAAATGATACTAAATTTATTCTCTTATATTTTTACAAATCATTTTCACTTAGAGTCAGTCAAATGTCTTCTAAAATTTCCTAAGCACTGTGCAAAAATAATCAACCCCATTTACTACAGACAAATTTCATGGAAAATGTTATTTCTTCATCATAAGATACCAAGTTCTCGCAAATTGGACTGACTGGATTCAGTGATGATAATGTATTCAATGCCATCCTTGTTAAGAAGTAAAACTTGATAAAATAATAGAGATTGGAATCAAGCAGAGTTACCATATTTATGCACAGAAGTTATTTATTACTGAATATTACAATTTATTTTAAATATTCATTTATTCCTATTTAAACTTGTACGATTAATGATCAGAGAATTCAACATTTGAATTTCCAGGGTGGAATAATTCTTCAGATCAAAAGGCAGGTTTGGGTACCTAAGTAATTTTAATTGATAAACAAGATTCATTTTCAAGTTATAGGAAGCATTGAAAAATGGAATTGTGGTGGAAATAAGTACATGATACATTCAAATATGATACAACACAAAAATTTTGAGCCGTAAAATAAAGTTGTAGTAAGTAGTTACCTACTCCTGTTAGGCTACATCATTCTGCCCTGTCTGAACAATTTTGTTTAACACGTTGACTCCGAAGTGGTACATTACCGTACATATGCGTACCACGAAATGTATTTCTCCAGGACGTAGTGGTACATAATTCAGGTTGCCTAAAATCGGCCAAATCCGAGAACAAAAAAGGCCAAAAAAGGCCAAAACTCAATATATACTAGTTTATTTGTAGGTTCCGCTATAAAAATTCCATTTATTTTCTTTTTGCAGTATTTAAAATTTAATTAGGAAGTACCCCTATCATAAATTTTAGCCGGCCAACGCAATTGAGAAAAACTAAATCACGGAATTTGTCCGGAAAGAATGACCGTCTTGCAACCCTGTTTAAAAACAGTACTAAAAATGGAATAATTGTACAAGATGAAGCAATCGGAGTCAATGTGTTAAACAATTTCTCAGCCCTGGAAATCTAAATTATTAAATCTCTGGTCATTATTCGCACATGTTCAAACAAGTTGATTCTGCCATTTCATACTAGTTACAGTACTTATTGATGCATAATTTTGTTCAAAAATGTGGTATGTTTTGTACCAAAGCACTCCCTGCAAAGCAAGTAAACCTTCATTAATAGCAATTTTTAGATGGAGAGTAAGATACTTGAACTCCATCTGAGGCGGACTCTTCAACTAGCATAGAATAATAAAAAAAATAGTATAAACTAGAATGAACAAACAATAATCTATAAATAAACTATTATTGACATAAACTAGTAGTAGGTAAACAACAAGATCATCTTTGGTAAACTACAAGGCTGTAGATTGGAGATACCTGGCCATCATCTGTAGAGAATTCTTCTTCAGCTGACATGATATTTGGTCCCTCTACGGCATCAGACGACTCATCATTGATGATGGCCTCTAACGGGTCATTGTTGATGATGGCCTCTAACGGGTCCTCCTCATTGATGATGGCCTCTAACGGGTCATCTTTGATGATGGCCTTTAACGGGTCCTCCTCATTGATGATGGCCTCTAACGGGTCATCTTTGATGATGGCCTTTAACGGGTCCTCTTTGATGACTGCCTCCAACGGGTCATGTTTGATGGTAAACACTGTGTTGACATCAAGCGTGGCATCAATACCATCAGTACCTGCAAACAATAAACATTGTCAGAAAAATATTTAAATATTTAGAGGTTTGAATGTATTCCAAGGATACTTGATAAGAAAATTCATTGATGACATACTACAATAACCAATAAAGATTGTATGATCTTGCATTCCAGAAAATGATATTAAATAAATACAACAATGAGAATAAATGATAAACAAATATGTTTTGCAATAGGTACCTATAAGCTATAATCACTAGGGAATCAAAAGCCTAGTGTTGTGGACAAGTTAAGGGAAGGAATGTCAACTAAAAAGTATGATTCCTTTTATTAAAAAGTTTTTGTATGGATATTGAAAATAAACTTATAGTCTGAATTAATTCACCATTGCATGAAATTAATTAAATGAAAATGCAGCAAAGATGCAGCTTTACTAGGGCATGCAGAAAAGATGGACAATTGAGAAACTAAACACCAATTAGTTTTAATGTTAATCATCATCAAGTTAATGGAAGAATAATTACATTCTGTCCATCTCAAATAATATGACTGCAATTAATTTTTAATTTTATTAATTCATTTAGTCATTTAGTCATTTAGTCATTTAGGACTTCAATGAAACCTGCTTAAAGGAACAAATTTTGCGAGCATATACAAATAATCATATTAGTGTAGTTAGGCAGAAGTTCTTCATTTATACAGGTTTGATTGAAGACCAGAGCGTACTTTTTATTAACAATTTTCTTATTGTTTTTTTTGATGAGCCAAACAAAATTTCTTGCAGGTGCTTGGAGATCAAAAAGCAATAAGAAAATTGTTAATAAAAAGTACGCTCTGGTCTTCAATCAAACCTGTATGAATAATTATATATACCTACACATATATAAATAATGAAAAGAATAAGGGGCAAATGATACCCATACCACTCACCTCCCAGCTCAGCGCTCCTGTCCTGGCTCCCATGCCTCCCATAATTATTTAAGGATCTAGAGCCTACTGATGGATTATTCTGATGGACATTCACATTCTCCCCCATCTTGCATGACTTTATGAGTCTACCTAATTAATTTCAAGCATATATGCCTGGTGATACAGAAATTTTGAATGTAGGATGGATATTTATATATAGTACCGTAAAATGGGGTAACTTAGACCACTTTTTTTTTATAAATGATGCCATTTTTTTACTAGCTAAATTAAACTTGAATTGAAACATGCAAAATACAGGTCTATACTCTAGCTTCACTCACCATAAGTTGCTGGCTCCTGCCTCTCATAGTCTTTATGTAATTTAAAAAAAAGTGATGGTCTTTGTTACCCCAGCTCTTGGGGTAACTTAGACCGGGTAGTAAAATCAATTATATTTTTGGGTAAAATAACTCCAGGTTTTGGTGCATTGTAGCAGAACTCTTCTAGTTACATATGCAAATGACAAACTTGAGGAAAGTGTCATAGTTTGCAAATGGGAGGTGCCGCCCCATAATGAGGGAAATGTGACTACCTAATGGCAGCCCTGATGGGGTAATATTGACTGGTTTGGAAATTAAGTTGAAATTACCATATATAAGACTCTGTAGAGTCTGAAACATAAAGAGAAAACATAAATAGGCTGTCAAACATAAAATATGTTATATATGGTAATTTTATATTAACTTCCAAGCCGGTCTATGTTACCCCGTCAGGGCTGACATTAGGTGGTCTAAGTTACCCCATTTGGGGGCGGCGCCCCCCATTTGCAAACTATGACACTTTCCTAAAATTTGTCATTTGCATATGTAACTAGAAGAGTTCTACTACAATGCATCAAAACCTGGAGTTATTTAACCAAAAAATAAAAAAATTGGAGGGGGTACTCTGACAGGCTTCAAGTAATAGCTTTTTTTGTGGGTCACATTTTAAATTTTTTAATCTATTAGATATGCAAACTTTTCAAATCTTTCTATTGCATTATGTAGCCTCAGTATTAGGCCTTTAATGCCCATTGACAAAATTTTCTATGTCAAATAGTTTTTGAGTTGTGGGGGTTTTTGTTAAAAAAACGAAAAGTGGTCTAAGTTACCCCGCCGGTCTAAGTTACCCCATTTTACGGTACCACTTCAATCCTGAGTATTATATATAGGTATAGCATGAAACAAGGTGAATTTGCAACAATGTAGGTTACTTGAGCCATATATATTTTTTAGATTTAATCAAAATATGTACTTTCTTATTTATTTATTATTTATATACTTTTCAAAATATTTTTTTATTGTTTAGCCAAAATACTTAACTTTTGAGCAATGATATCTTATATTCAAAAACAACACCACACTTTTGCACCAGTATTTGGTGAAAAGTAAAAGCTTTCCAATCTTATGATACATGAGTCACCACTTGGCAGCAAGATTGAAGAACTGATCATTTTTATGGAAATACTGCATTTCCAAAATCTCATAATTTGAATGATTTGTAATGAAAAAGCTCAATTGCCCATTTAATCAACAGATGGATAATACCTACTGTAGATAAAATAGATAATACTAAGAATAATTAGGTTTACCGTAATCCTATTATTCTAAATGCTAATCCTCGGATTATTCTAAATCCTAATCCTGTTATTCTAAATCTAAACAACCCAAATGAGGCCATCCCAAAGCAAATCATCCTAACTCAAATATAGTAAATAATTTTTAAACTAATGTACCATATTAAGAGAGAAATCTTATCAAATGATCAAACCAACATTCAGCAAATTCAGGAAAATTAAGCAGAAACCACTCATGAATGAGACAAAAATTCAGGAAAATTAGACAAAAATTCAGGAAAATTAGACAAAAATTCAGGAAAATTAGACAAAAACCACTCAAGAATTCTTATCAGCCATTTCGAAATATTCCTATCAACCCATGCTTGCAGTCAATTTCACCCCTTCGATTATTACAGACTTTGTAGCTTTGCTCAATTTCTTTCATAAAAAATAGAAAAACAGCACATATTTTCCTGTAATTTTGTTGAATTCTCATAAAACAATTGATTTTAGTTACACCAGGAATTTTTGGTAATTCTGCCTGACATTCCAAATTAGTAAATCACAACTTTGACAATTGTATAAATATTAATATTGACATGACATAACATTGACAGGAAATAATTAATTTATCTAGTTGAACTCATGCAAATCCAAAAAAAAAATTCTATAGTCAGAAAACTCTACCATCAAATGGGTTAATAAAGGACAGTTTTGAGCATTTTTTTGCTAATAACTTCTTACCATGAACCTTTCATAAACAAGTTTGTGTTCATTTTAGAGGCCGTTGTGAGGGATATTGTATGGCATCTCTGAAAAAATTTCATATGCCATTTGTTAGGTGTCAGTCGCAAATTAAAAGCTTCCCTAATAACCTCTGGGAACGGGGTAATCTGGGACACGGATACTTGAAATAAAACTTAATTTTAAAACGTTTGAAGCATCCAGAGTGTACTCATCCATTACTAATAGTACCCTGAAGTTCTCCTCTTCCTTTTTAGATGATGTAGATGTGGAATAAATGACATTTTCTGTGATTTTTAATTTTTTTCCTTTAGTGATGATTTTTACCATATTCATATATTGTCATATTATTGATGTGATATTACTGAATCCATAGCCCTATAGCATTCATTCTGTATCTGTAGCTTACAGAACGGCTTGTAATTTTGCATCATTTTAATTGAGTCAAGAGAATTCACTATAACAAAAAAAAAAAAAGATTGTAAAAAACACACCTGAAACAGAAAGGAATATTTTAGGGACAATCATCAGATTTTTTTAGAGAAATATATCATAGTTTAGGTTAATTACTTTCTATTTTATGTTTCCCAGTGCACAATTCTATCCATGACATTCTATGCACAATTTTGTAATGGCCGATGTCTGATTGATGCATTAATTTTTTGTAAGTAAATTTTTTGCTGAGCAAGGTAATTGTAATAAAAAAATTTTTGTTAACTGATATTTTAAAAACTGGAGCCTTTGCTAATCAAGATTCTACTGTAAATGCATTTCAGGAGTGTCCCTAATTACATTAGAGGGGTGTCCCCAGTCCCACTGTCCCTTATTACCTAGTCTTGCAGACATGGTGGCAAACCAAAGATTTTTAAGAATCAGTTTATTTTTAATTTCCTTATCTACTCAATATTTTAATCAGCTTCTTACATATGATAATGCTGGTATCCAAGATACCATAAAATGGGGTAACTTTGAGCAATTTTTTTTTAAAATGATGCCATTTTGTTACTAGATAAGTTAAACTTAAATTGAAACATGCAAAATACAGGTCTATACTCTAGCTTTACTCACCATAAATTGCTGGCTCCTGCCTCTCATAGTTTTGATGTAATTTCAAGAAAAGTAATGGTCTTTGTTACCCCAGCTCTTGGGGTTTCTTTGACCGGTGTAGCCTCAGTATTAGGCCTTTGATGGCCATTGACAAAATTTTTCTATGTCGAATCGTTTTTGAGTTTTGGGGGTTTTTGTTAAAAAAATTAAAAGTGGTCAAAGTTACCCCGCCAGTCAAAGTAACCCCATTTTACGGTACTTAATAGTCTAATTATAGGACTCAAAAATGAACTTGAGGATATTGGTAATGGATATAAAAAACTTTAGCTCAGTAAATATTTCTTCAGCTTTTATTTAAATGAGATTTACTGTTCACATTTGCAGTCAACTTTGTCTCTTGCTACTTGTTGAATGGTGTGGACAAGGTTTAGTCTTGGTTCCTTCTTCAATATGAAGAAATAGAGGCAGCTGCAGCATAGTCTGCATATATGTGAATTGCACGTGAGCTAGGCACCGTCGACCCAGGTTGTTCTGAAGTAGATGAAAAAATATGCTTCAATTGCTGCTGACAAAGAAATATAATTAACTAACTTGCAAAATAGTCGATATAATTGAAAATAATAATTCAATAGTCAAATGAGAACATAATTACCTTAAGTGAAAAATCCACTTAAGAGGCTGCAGCCAAGTAATGAGCCAAGTTAAGTTAGTAAGAAGGATTAGCCCAGTAACAGTATAAGTTAATGCATGTGGTTAATTGGAATTAATAATAGTTGCAGAGAAGCAACTTAAGATTTTAATTTGAACAAACTGGGCCAATCAAGTGTATAAGGGAATGGCATGCAAATGAATGAGGTTGATGATTAAGAGGAGATTCAAGGCAAGACTCCCTGGCAAAAACCAGTGGCTGTCAAGGCTCATCAACATTTTCTAGATTAAAGGTACAGAGTGAAGTAAACTCTTTCTTTACTTTAAGAAAGATGGAAATTTTAAATATAAATTCTAACATTTGAATTTTCAAAATATCAATTAAATTTCTAATAAGGAATGTAACAAAAAATTTTCATCTTTTTCACTACCTATGCTTGCAGAAATAGCTGCCATTTTTATTTGGAAATGAGATAAGCAAATTCTGTCAATCACTTTTCTAAGCCAGCACCTGTATGCAACTCTTATATTAGCAAAATTTTTTAGTAGGGCAAATATTTTTTTTTTGCTACAGACCTAAACCTTAGCAGAGGAGTCAAGGACAGGGGTACTATTCCAATTCCAAAATCTAACTTTCCATATTTTTTCATGACTTTTTTAGAGGTAGTAAATGTATAATTTCTCAACTAAATTAAGCAGTTATGCTTCATAGATAGGAAAATGTTGAACTTCAAGCCACTATTTTTAGGGTTGTGATATTTCAATCATTTTAGCTGCTACATCATTTCTACAAAATGACGAACAGATACGGAGGACAGAACCTGACTGTCCTGATTTACTCTGCCTATATCTTAGGGCTTAGGCTTATATAGTCCCCATATGATGCAATTGATGGTATTGTTTCAGATTTATTTACCTCCTAGAATAGTGCCCAAATCCCCTGGTCAGCAACTTGGCAATATAATGCTGACTTTTTGCTGGGAGTAGGTGTTTTTCTCACTAGCTGGGACTATGAACAGACCCCGAGTTCTCAAGGGCCAAGGCCAAAGCTGTGATAAGCCTGTGTGGCATGTGCCTCCACGCTCCGCCCTTCAGGCTCCAGCATCATTTGGATGCCCAGAAAG